GTTCATTTGGATTCTTGGGACAGATTCCCAGAAACTTAAGTTTATCTGACTTGACAGCTGATTTCTCTAATAGTACTGGTTAGTTCTCTCTCTCTCTCTCTCCCTCTCTCTCTACACTCTGATGCGCATGCACTGGATGTGTGTGTAAATTCAATGGCTTGACAGTCTTAAGTATGTTGCCTAAGCTTAATAAAAGTAGTACATTTAAAGTAAAGACTTTTGAAAAAGTTAGTTTTTGAACTAAAAATATCAGGAAAAAAAGTTCCTTCTAGAAGAGCTTAAACATATTTGGCAAATAAAAAGGTTACTTAAAGAGTGACTTTTAAGCTTACCAAACATGTTACTGTGAATCTAGGGAACTCCTTGGTTCTTATGCACGGGTATTTTATTTTTCATATTTATGATTTGTATGATTTACCCTTTTCAGATATTTTAGAGAGCTATTCTAGATCTCCATTTCTTGGAACCGATACAATCTTCATGGATCCTAGTGTTCTGGGGGAATATCAAGGTAAAGTTTTTGATATTCTACATTATTTCTTTTGGAATATCAAGGATATAACTAATATCAGTAACCTACTTGTAACCAGATATTGAGAGGCTGAACACAATATCAGAGGGCTTGAATTATGAAGATTTTGGCAGCGATTGAAGAATTTAAAGGGTACACTTCCTGCAGCTGTTTAATTTCTTCTGTTCTTGTTCTCAGCATTATTCCCGTATATACTGAGCATATTTGCCTAGCTTAAAAGTTATTATAAACTTCACCATATACACTGTTTTCTATTTCTTAACAAAGTTGGTTCATGGGACAGTATCCAGGGTCGCCAATTGCTCGGTATGCAGAAACTTTTTTGAACAGGTTCTGGATTTTAAAACTATTTGAAGGTATTGGCATGTGTCGAGGTAACTATTTAGACGCAATGAACAGAAACCATCGTGTCTTGGATCAGTTTAGGTAGAAACATGGCATGCAAAGGCTTGTTCTTGGAGACTGGGTGTTCTTATTGATTTCTTTATATGATAGCTTCGTCTAGAAGCCTAACAGTGTTTCCTTGTATTTGTATTGGTGTTGATTGATGGAGTAAAAGAGAATTTTATGTTTCTGGATTGGGATCAACCCCTGCGTTTGATCTGACAGTTTTGTAATTTGATATATAAATAAAAATAAGCAACTTTTTTATTGATCAAATTGAAACTGCTCAAGAAAACTAGTAACGTTTTCTAAACATGAACCATACACGAAACTGGTCGTCAGGAGAAAACCACACTAAACTAATTTGAAGAGTTTTATGCCAAGGTAATGGGCAAAGGGCCAAAAAATTGCAAAGAGAAGAAGATGGAGAGTGTGTGAATGATCAGTGTACGTATGAGATGGAAAGGGGTTTTATTAGAGTATTATTTTCTATTTGAGGACGAAACCATC